GCGCTCTACCACTTGAGCCACAGCGCCACTTCCTTTTTCTGTGTATATGGTGCTGAGGAATTGAACCCAGTGCATGCTAGGTAAACACTCTACCACTAAGCCACCTTCCTAGCCCAAGAGTATATTTCTTTTTGGACAATGTCACCCTTTCCCTCCTTCTCTCTTAGTTTTTCCCTCCCATTCCCAGTTTCAATTGTCTTCAGAAGGGGAGGGAATAAAAACAGTGATAGAAGAGGTGAGGTTGTCCTGGATATAGCATATTCATGTAAAAATGTCACAATAAGATCACTACAACTAATGTATGATAATAAAACTACTGAATAGTAACAAATAATAAAAAGGAAATGGTGCTGAGAGTGAAAATATCTACATTCTTCTTTTTTTTAGATTTTGTGCTTTGAACTCAGGGTCTAGTTGATGTCATTTTCTCTCAAGAATAGTGCTTTACCACTAGAGTCACAGCTCCACTTCTGGCTATTTGATGATTACTTAGAAATTATTTCCTGGGGCTGGGAAGATGGCTCAGTGGTAGAGTGCTTGCCTTGCATGCCTGAGGCCCTGGGTTCGATTCCTCAGCACCACATTAGCAAAAAGAAGAAAAAGCCGGAGATGGCGCTGTGGCTCAAGTGGTAGAGCGCTAGCCTTGAGCTGAAGAGCTGAGGGACAGCGCCCAGGCCCAGAGTTCAGGCCCCATTACTGGACCCAAAAAAAAAAAAAAGAAATTATTTCCTGCTCAAGCTAGCTTTGAACTGTGATCCTCATATCTCAGCCTCCTGAGTAGCCAGTGTCAGTGTACAATGCATTTTTTAACAAAGATACTCATATCCTCCAAATCAATACAAAGACAGAAGAAGAATAAAAGGCAGAAAAAAAAAAGAATGAATTGGTAGATCATAAAAACAGATACAAGGGGGCTAGGAAGGTGGCTCAGTGGTAGAGCACTTGTCTTGCATGCCTGAGGCCCTGGGTTCGATTCCTCAGCACCACATAAGCAAAAAGAAAAAAGCCGGAAGTGGCACTGTGGCTCAAGTGGTAGAGCACTAGCCTTGAGCTGAAGAGCTGAGGGACAGCGCCCAGGCCCAGAGTTCAGGCCCCACGACCGGACCCCCACCCAAAAAAAAACCCAGATACAAGTACAAAAGCTATGTAGGAAAAAGCACACAATCTTATTAGTTATCAAAGAAATGCTAATGAAAACCACTGCAAAACACCAGAAGGGCAAAATATAATAGACTGGCAATACTAAGGGTTGGCACAGAAGTGGAAAAACTGGATCTCTACACACTGGTGGCAGTATAAATTGATATAGCCTCTTTGGAAAATAGTTTGGTAATTTCTCTGAGGGCTGAACATGTACTTACCCTGTGACCTAGCAATGCCATTCTTGGGTGTGGGTATACTTATGTATGTGACTGAAAGATGTGGGAGACTATACAACAATTGTATTCCCAATAGCGCTATATTAGCTTTCTGTGACTGTTGTAACGAATTGTCACAAACCTGGGGTGTTAAAACCATAGGGCTATAGTCTGTCCTTGTTTAGGATGTCAGAATCCAAAATCAAGGTGTCAGCAGGGATGGGCTCCCTTCAGAGACTCTGGAGGAAATTTGTTCCTTGTCTCTCTCAGCTTCTGGTGGCTGTGGGAATTCTCTAGTCTGTGGACACCTGTGTTAGTTTTTCATTAGTGAAACAAAATGCCTGAAATAATCAGATTTAAAAGTGGAAAGGTTTATTTTGGCTCACAGTAATGAAGATTTCACTTCATTGTGAGTGTGTGTGTCTGTGTGTGTGTACATGCACATGTTCATGCAGGTCTTCAGGCTTGAACTCAGGGTTTGAACACTGTCCCTGAGCTTTTTTGCTCCAGGCTAGCTCTCTATCATTTGAGCCATAACTTCAGTTCCAGCTCTTTTGGTGTTAATTGGAGATAAAAGTCTCATGGGCTTGCCTGCCCAGGCTGGCTTTGAACTGTGATCCTCAGCTATCAGCCTCCTGAGTAGCCAGGATTACAGGTGTGAGCCGCCAGTGGCTGGCAGTCCCTAGTTGTTAGTCCATTGCTTTTGGACCCATAGGCTAGGCCATACATCACAGTGGGAGCATGTGGCTAGGTACAAAAGTAAGGAAGAGGCTGGTGTCCTGAGGCCCCTTCCCCCCCATTAAACCTACCTCTTAAAAAGATCCACCGCTGGGAGCCGGTGGCTCACGCCTGTAACCCTAACTACTCAGGAGGCTGAGATCTGAGGATCATGGTTCAAAGCCAGCTGGCTGGCTTTGAAAGTCTGTGACACTCTTATCTCCAATAAATCACTAGAAAACCAGAAGTGGCACTGTGGCTCAAGCGGTAAAGCATTCGCCTTGAACTGAAGAGCTGAGGGACAGCACCCAGGTCCAAAGTTCAAGCCCCACAACCGACCAAAAAAAAAAAAAGTTCCACCACCTCCCTATAATACATGGAGGAAGACCAAGCCTTTAACACATAGGTATTTAGGGGGTCACTTCAGATCCAAATCATAGCAATGCCAATCAGCTTTCTTCTCATGGGTTTCTTCCTCTCCCTCAGTCTTTTTTTTTTTTTTTTGGCAGTGCTGGGCATGGAACCCAGGACTGCATTCACCTTTGGATAGCACTCTACCACTGAGCTACACTCCCATACTCCCAGCCCAGCCTCACTATTTAAAGATGCTTGTCACCAGAGTTAAGCTCCACCCGGATAATCCAGAATGATCACCCCACCTCTAGATCCTTTACTTAATTACATCAGCAAAGACTCATATGAAGTAGTATTCTTGGGTCCAAACATTAGGACACAGAAAGTCATCATTAAGCTGGGCACTGGTGGCTCACGCCTGAAATCCTAGCTACTCAGGAGGCTGAGATCTGAGGATCACGGTTCAAAGCCAGCCTGGGCAGGAAAGTCTGTGAAACTCTTATCTCCAATAAAAACCACCAGGAAACCAGAAGTGGCGCTGTGGCTCAAGTGGTAGAGCACTAGCCTTGAGCTGAAGAGCTGAGAGACAGCGCCCTGGCCCAGAGTTCAAGCCTCATGACCGACAAAAAAAGAAAGAAAGAAAGTCACATCAAGTCCACTACAAGCCCCAAACTGAAACAAGTGTCTATCAGTCTCAGAGTGGCAAATGAATGGTGTGCAGCCCATCTTGGGCTATATAAAAAGAGTCTGTCTCAAGAAAAATAAGTGAAACTAATCTCTAGAGATAAAAGTTATAATCGTGGCAACCTTTGAAGAGAAGGAGCTCTAGTGACTAGGAAGGACTCGAGGGCAGATATTTATGTGTTGATATTCTTTTTATCTTTTGATCTGGACAATGGAAATTCACTAAAATTAGTGAACATTTTTCTGTACATAATATTAATAACGCATTTTCCTTTTACTTGTGTGTGTGTGCCAGCACTGAGGCTTTTTTTGCTCAAAGCTGGAGCTCTACCACTTAAATCATATCTCAGTTCTGGGTTTTTGCTTGTTAATTGAAGATAACCTTTTGGATTTGTCTCTTTACACTGGCTTTGAAACTGAGATCCTCAAGTCACTAGTTCCTGAACCACCAGGAAGGTGTGAGCCACCAGTGCCCAGTGTTTGTTTGTGTAGATGTGCATATGTGTATGTAGATACACACATATGTATATATGTGTCTACATATATACATACATGCACACACACACACACACACACACACACACACACACACACTTAGTCCCAACAAATCTGGAAGAAAATTTAAAATGATAAAACCAATCAATGTACCATGGAACATTTTTTTTTTTGTCTATGACCAAGAGTCAAACTCAGTACCTGATGCTCTCACTCCTTGGCTAGCACTCTACAAACTGAGCCATGCCTCCGACACCATGGCACATTCTTTATAACTCAACCCCTAATTGCTCCATAAAGTTCAGTGCCCCTGACCTTAATTACTAAAGGTAGGTTCCCACATGGAGTTGGGGTAGTTAGGCTGTGGAGAAAATGTTACTTAAGGCGGAATGAGGTGACCTACGAAAAGTGTTCATGCATTGTAGGAAAAGCTAGGGGAGGATTACTTGAAAGTGGTAGGGAGTTACACAGGGATTATAGGAACAGGCAGGAAGAGCCCACCTGAAAGGAGGAAGGGTAGTGTGTATTTAAAAAGTAGGTTTTGACAATGGAGGGGGTAACAATGCTCAATAGGAAGTGTACTCATTACCTTGCTCATGTAACTGTAACCCTCTGTATAGTATCTTTACAATAAAATTTTTTTTTACAATAAAAATTTGTTTTAAAAGTAGGTTTTGAGCTGGGGGCCTGCAGCTCACACTTGTAATACTCACTACTCAGGAGGCTGAGATCTGAGAATCATGGTTAGAGCCAGCAAAAGCCAGAAAAATTTAAGAGACTCTGATCTCCAATGAACCAGCAACAAGATCGAACTGGAGACATGACTCAAGTGGTAGAGCATCCACTGTGTGAAGAATAAGCTGAAGGGCTGGTGCCAGGGGCTTACATCTGTATTCCTAGCTACTCAGGAGGATGAAATCTGAGAGTTTTGGTTCAAAGCCATCCCTGGAAGGAAAGCTCATTACACTCTTATCTCTAATTACCAAAAAGCTAGAAGTGAAACAATGCTCAAGTGGAAGAGTACCAGCCTTGAGCAAAAAAAGCTTAGGTCCTGAGTTCAAACCCAAGGATTGGCACAAAAAGATTAAAAAAAGAAGGAAGGAAGGGAAAAGAAAAGGAAAGAAAAAAATCGGAAGGACAGCCTGAGGACCTAAGTTAAAAAAAAAATCAACAACAAAACTTCTGTCTTCTATATTCCACAAAATGGCTCTGGACTGGGACTTCATCTACATAGAACACTTAATTCTTTCTAATTAGAGAAAATAAACCTTACAACTTAAAAAAGATGATTGTGAGGGTGTGGGTGTGGTGAAGATGCTGGGTCCCGGCCAGCGCCCACCGCAGTAGACCCACCGAGGAGGTGCTGCACAGACCAACGGATGGAGTGTCAACTCCCAGTCAACCCTGGTGACCATGGCGGTATTTCACGACGAGGTGGAGATCGAAGACTTCCAGTATGATGAGGACTTGGAAACCTATTTCTACCCCTGCCCATGTGGCGATAAATTCTCTATCACCAAAGAAGATTTGGAGAATGGGGAAGAGGTGGCAACGTGTCCTAGCTGTTCTCTTATTATAAAAGTAATTTATGACAAAGATCAGTTTATGTGTGGAGAAACAATCCCAGCTCCTTCAGCCAACAAAGAATTAGTTAAATGCTGAAGAAACCTTCAGAATCCAAGTCCTAAAGAGTTGGCGTTGAGCCAGGATGGAAATATCAAGTGCAAAGTTACTGGCTTCTTTACAGGGACATCTGTTTTATGGCTTGTCGTGAATGTAGATCTTTTAACAACTGCCAGGTCCATCTTCAACTAGAAAAGTGAGCTGCTGATGACATGTCAGACTTGGATTTCATGCTTAGAACTTTGAAGTGTAAGTTGGAAATATACTTGATCCATTTGGATTTCAAAAAAAAAAAAGATGATTGTGTGGGGTAGTGCTAAAGGTGTGGTGTGCAGTATTAAATGACTGTATTAAATGAGGAGTTAAAAGTCAGTCATGTCCCTGCTGCTTGAACTGCCTCTGGGAGATACTAACCTGGAGTTGCGGTGCCCATTTCCTGCCTTTGAGAAATGAATAAAACAGGCACTGAATCAAAGTGCAAGAGACCAGCTAGGAATGGGGACATGGGTAAGGCTTTGTGTGGGAGTGAAGAGGTAGAAACCTGTGAGTGATATAGCATTGGAGGTGTGGAGGAATCCAGGGACTTCCCTGGGGAGACCTGACATATGGGAAAGACAATTCCTTTGTGTTATCTATACACAAAGCTTGATGGACCAGGCAGTAGTGTCAAAATGGTGACAGAAAAGCCTCTCATCTATGCAGTTCAGATGCAGTTTTGATTTCCCCTCTGCCCCAGCCACTAGGACAATAGGGAAAGAGTTGGGTGACAGAGATCTAGACCCCCCCACACCTTGTGACCCCACCGGGTAAGACCTGAAAGGCAGCCACAGTGAACCCGGTGGGTGGATGGCTGTGGCAGCTGGGCAGAGAAGCTAGGAGGCTGTTTACCAAGAGCCAGGTGAATGAATCACTGTGTGTGGACGTTTGTCACCACACCCGGGGTGTCTGAGGCAAAGGACAAAGACAAGCAGCCATTACCAGTCCCTTTCTGCTCCTCCCTCCAGAATAGTGCATACACCTCCCCCCATTCCACGCCTGAGTTCCTAGACGTGATTTTGACCCACATATCCCTGGAAGGGGACAGTAACAGTTCCCCTGGAGTCCCTCTTCTCCAAGGAGCCTTGTTGGCTGTCCGGCACACAGATCTCCATTCCTGATCTGATTTAACCGGCAGCAGCTCTGCAGCTCCTGCTGCCCCGGACCTCTGAGGCCCTGGGCTGGAGGCCTGGTGCTGCTTTTGGCGGAGGATGGGTATCTTACCTGTCCAGTCTAACCTGCCGGACACCTTGTCCACGTGCTTAGAGTGACTGAAACTCATTTCCTCTTTCAGTGGGTCTTAGAGGCGGGGCAGGGTGGGAGGAAGGGCAGTCATTCTTCAGTACCCTGACTGTGGGAGGTGGATATAAACACTCCTGGGATCCAGTGACCCTGGGAGGGTTCAGCTGACCTCCAGCTGCTGGCTGGACAGGTGGGGGCGAGGAGGGGAGGGAGGGGTAGCAAACAGGGCCCCCAGTGTGCTAACCTTAGTTTTTGTTGCCCCTGTCACTGTACCTGTGCATCTCCCCCAATCTTAGAATGTGGGGCTGTCAAACTGAGAGAAGGCAGATTGTTAGCTCTGGGTGGTTGGCTGGTCAGTCATCGGGTCTGTGGACAATGTGCTCTGGACTGGAAGAAGGGAAGAAGCAGCCAGGAGGCCTGGGGGAGCTGCAAATGGCTCTGAGACACATGCTGTGTCCTTCTCTCTGACAAATGTCCAATTTCTATCTCCCATGACACTATGCACACACCTGGGAGCTGGTGCTGCCAGTGCTGGGTATCTGACCGGAGGACCTTGCTTTCCCATCTCCTCTATCCTATCACCACTGTGTTAGCCAGTCTGGGTCTGGTAGAAACCCAAACATATGAGGTCATAGTACTTACAAGTTTTCCTCCTGCTCTCTCTCTCCCTCCTCTGGTCCTTGACCAGTGAAAAGCTTATTCCTCTCAGCCTGTATGGCAGGTCAGCCAGGTATCATTCCCTGCTGTCTTCCTTGGAGGGGTGTTTTGCCAGCAGCTGGGTGCTGGTGGCTCATTGTTATAAATCTAGCTCCTTAACAGACTAAGATTTGAAGATTGAAGTTCAAAGCCAGCCAGAGCAGGAAAGTCTGTGAGATTCTTACCTCAACCAGCAAAAAGCCAGAAACAGAGGTGTAGTTTAAGTGGTAGAGTGCCAGCCTTGAGTGGAAAAGGAAAGATTGTGAGAGTGGAGGGAAGATCAGAGCTAAGAGCGTCTTCCCCTCAGGTTTGGGTTTGACTCCAAAGTTAGACTCGGGCTACTTCTGCTCATGCCTGTCAGGCGACCTGAGCACAGTTAAATGCTGTCCCTGCTCAAAGCCCTAACCCAGGTCTAACATTGTATTACAAGCTCTATAACTTTGTGTTTATCTCTTCATGACCTGGTCTACCTAATTGTTCTGTTTCCTCCACCTGCTCCAGGGCCCTCATAAACATCCAACATTCCAGTCACAATGGGGTAACCTGTAGCCCCTAAACATGCCATGACTTTGAGACCCTGACATCTTCAAGACCCTCACAGCTGTTTTCTTCTGTTGATACTCTGTTCTCCTATGCCTCCTTCTCTGACTATCAATCCAATATATACTCAATGCAATTATCTTCCTATAAACCTGCTTAGGAAGGTATCCTCTTGCCTCAAAAATACCTAAAGCAGCTGGGTGCTGGTGGCTCAGGCCTGTAATCTTAGCTACTCAGGAAGCTAAGATCTGAAGGAAAGTCTGTGAGACTCTTATCTTCAATTAACTATCAAGAAAAGACTTAAGTGGTAGAGCATTAGCCCTGACCAAAAAAGCTCAGGAATAGAAACCAGGCCCTGAGTCCAAGCTCTGGGACCAGACCATGCATGCATGTATACACACACACACACACACACACACACACACACACACACACACACACAAAACCTAAAGCCGTTCATCAACAAAATATTTCCTTTGTATTATTATAGTGCTTATTAATATAATACTTCCTTTATATTATTATGGTGTGCTTTGAAACCGAGTCACACTCAACTTTGGACCCCCTAAAGTACCTACCACATGTCTGCCACAATTTAAGATTTGTGTGTACCAGTTTTGGGGCTTGAGCTCAGGGTTTAGGTACTGTCTCTGAGCTTCTTCTGCGCAAGGCTAGTGCTTTACCATTTGAGTTACAGCTCCACTTCTGGCTTTTTATTTATTTATTTATTTTGCTGGTGAATGGGAGATAGGAATTTCATGAACTTTCCTGCTTGGGCAGTTTCAAACTGTGATCCTCTCTCACCCTCCTCAGTAGCTAGGATTACAAGCAGGAGCCACTGGCACCTCGCTTACAAAGTAAGTTCTCAATAAATCTTTATGGACATGTATTAAGCCATAAGTTGAATGAAGTGAACAGTTCCTCAAGAAGGGAAGATGGTACCAAAACAATAGAATGCTGTCCTGCCCCTGTCTCCCCACTTCCCACATTGAGTAAGTATGTACAACTTACTAAACAGGCTCGTCGCACACTGTTGCTGCCTTCAGTTCCAAGTCTGAGGCAAAATGCCTGTCTTCTGATTTCCTACAGTGTAAAGGAAGCCTGGCCAGCATAACCTGTAACTCTTCAAGTCAACAGCACTTCCTGAAAACCTTTGTAGCCTCAGGTTTCTGCTAGGAACCATGAAGGACAACAGTTGCCTGGTCCCTACGCTCAAGGTAGTGAAAAAAGATCAAAAGATGGGAGTTTGCCATGGGAAGGCTTGGGTAAGCAGAGCATAGCAAGAGCAAGGAAGAGGACAGGCAACAAAGTGAAGGACCTCCTGCAGGGGATAGATTATCTAGGCTATAGGTTTGTTTGTTCAGGAGGTAAAGGTGATCTTTTAAGGTAGGGCCCAAGGAGGAATACCTTGAAATCTCTTAAGTGTGAAGTTAATGCTTTTACAGGTGAGACAACATTGCAGGGTTCACCCCCATCTGCCCGATTAGTGAAATTTAGCAATATGGAGGGAGGGAAAAGTCTGGAGGTTACAGAAATGGGGCCAGCAACAATCTAAGACTGCTGTTCTGAGGGTCTGAAGAAGCCAGTGAGTCAGTAAACTCTGGATTGGGAGTGAGTTTTAGTTCCAGCTCTGCAACAGCACCTAGAACATGTAGCTTCCCTGTTCTTCACACTTCCTTAACTGTAAAATTTTAAAACCATTCCAACAACCTTTGAAAACTGATGGCCCACTGGGAAGGAGTAGAGCCTTAAACTTGAACCTGAGAAATGAAGGGAAGTGGTCAGTCTAATAGGCCCTTAGGAGTTGAGAGGGAGATCAGAGATGAAATTTAGGAGCGTGTGGCGTGAGCCCATCCAGATACAATGGGGAACTGCCAGGTCAGGGGCTGCTAGCTGTCCTGGTGTTTGATTTGGCAATCCCATTTCCACTTCCCCCTTTTCTTTGCTTTTTTTTCTGACTTAGCCTCACCGTATTTGGGGAGGGCAGGGCAAACCAGGGCACCCCCTCACCCACCTCATCCCGACTTACCTTCCCCTTTTCTGGCCCTCACAAGATCCTCTTCTTCCCCTGACTTCCCCCAGAGCTAAAGTAGAAAACAGCCTTGCATTGAGTCATCTTCATTTTCAGCCTCCCTCCTAGATAACACGGAGACCTCATGTGTTCCAGGAAAGATGCTGAAAACATGAATGCATTTTTTTTTCTTTTACACTAATCCTAGCGGGCGATGACTATCTTACTTTATGGATGAACAGAGACTTACAGATCGTAAGTAATCCACACAAGGCCATACACCTGCCATTTGGTGATGCTGTGACACCCACAGGCAACAGATGAGAATTCTTGAGGCCTCGCCCCTGCTCACGTGACCTTACCCTTCTTTTCCCCCCCCCCCCCCCCGCCCGCCCACGGCACCGCTCCAGCCCCGCCCCTGGCGCCCCAAGCCGCCCCTGGACAACAGGTTGGGGCGGGCGGAGGGACCAGGCAGATGGGGGCGTGCCCCGGAGGGGGCGTGACCGGAAGCCTTAAAGGGGCCGGGGCGGCGGAGCTGGCTGTACCGGCAGCGGGCCTCCGTTCTCTCCTGGTGTCTGAGCTGGTCGTGGTGTCACCATGTCCCTGGCGGCCTCGGCGGGCAGGGGCCCGGGGACCCTGTGGTCCCCAACCCACGTGCAGGTGACGGTGCTGCAGGCGCGGGGTCTGCGGGCTAAGGGCCCGGGGGGTACGAGCGACGCGTACGCGGTGATCCAGGTGGGCAAGGAGAAGTACGCCACGTCGGTGTCGGAGCGCAGCCTGGGCGCGCCGGTGTGGCGGGAGGAGGCCACCTTCGAGCTGCCGCCGCTGCTGGCGTCCGGGGCCGCACCCGCGGCCGCCGCCACCCTGCAGCTCACCGTGCTGCACCGCGCGCTGCTCGGCCTCGACAAGTTCCTGGGCCGCGCCGAGGTGGACCTGCGCGAGCTGCACCGGGACCAGGGCCGCAGGAAGAAGCAGTGAGTGCGGGCCGCAGGCGAGGCGGGGGTCCCGGGACCCCGAGGGGCGAGCGGGGGGTCCCGGGCGGCGGGGAGCCAGGCCTTTCGGGGGAGGGGGACTCGCCTCAGCGAGGTGGCACCGAGCTCCCGCGTCCTTCCGAGGGCGCGCCCCGCCTCTCTCCCCGGGCCTGGCTTTTGGAAAGCTGGGGACGATTCTGAATCTGCGGGGCGCCTCTTAGCGCCCCGACGCACGGTCCACGCGAACTGAGTTTTTGATGAATTGAAATGGTCTGTGGGCAGCAGACTGCTTAGGTATTACTCGCTTTACCTTCTGGGTATTTTACAGAGCAGCACCCTTGAGCTGACGGACCCCTGACCTGGGGGGGGGGGAATGAACTGCAGGAGGGCCATCCCATGATAATGGCCCCCAGAGTAGGGCCATTACCGTGGGGGGGGCTGGAGGAGGGGAGGCTCGGGGAAGGTGGAAAGCCACCAGTCTGCTTGGCTAACTCCCACCCCTACCTGAGTTTATTCCTTCAGCAAGAATAGTTTGGTATTTGCCCCCCCAGTTCCAAATTAGTAGGGATTTCACAGCCGATGGATGGCCTCAGTGGCCATCTCTGGGCTGGACTGAACTGGGTATTGGTCCTCTTTTGGAGTCTGTCCTACTCTTGGTCTAGGCTGCTCTCTCAAAGTATCTCATTACACCAGAAAGCTGGGCAAAACCCAGCCAAAGCTCACTGTTAGGGATTTATTTATTCTCATTGGCAGGTGTTTGGAAAGGGCAGTGCTCTATCCCATGGAACATCTGTTTATCTAGTGTACCAAAGCTGGTCACGATTCGCCTACCTAGTTACATTGCTTGACCTAAAAGATACCAGCTAGACATCTCACCACCTAAAACCTTGCAGTGTATTGAAGTACACTGACTCACCCATTGGGAATTAGATAGAACACTTTAGCTTTTCCTTGTGGTGATTGGAACAGAAAAGGCTGGAGGCTTCCTAGTTACCCTGAGCTTTACTTTAGGGTGGACTTAGTTTCAGGGAGTGTGTTTGGACATGGAATATCTGATTCACTTATCTGGGCACAGATGAATAGGCATTTCTGAACTCAAATCAGATAAAAATGGAGACTCTTGTGAAGATGGAGGGATTATCTCATAGCATCACTGTACAAGTCAGAAGGCTGTTCAGTGTCTTTGCAAAGGAGCAGGTGAAGCAATGCTAATTTTCCATCAGATTAAATGACATTTTGGGGCCTTGGTTGTTGGCTGTTGGCCATTCTTTATCTTGCCTCATCTTAAAATGTAAGTATGTTATTCACTTCCGTCTTTGCCATCTGTTTCTCTGTGAATATTTCATCTCTTTGACAGATAGATCACATCTCCCTACCAGAGATGGGGATTTCAGAGTCCTGAGTCTGGTGTCCTCTGTGAACCTGACTCATTGTTGGCTTGCTCAGGCTCACCCGTTTCCCTATTTCTAAATGGAGCATGTTGCCAGACTTAATTGATGTTTGTAAGGTGTTTCTGCCATTCTGGACTCAGGAAGCTGGTGTTAAGATTCAAAAGGTTCTGTACTGCTTTGTGAGAGATAAAACCTTTCTAAGCTGTCTTTAAGTTAAGTCTCTGCATCTCCATTTTGCTCATCTTCATGGTAATCCTAAACCTACATAGTCACTCCTGTTTCTATTACAAGAGCTCACTGCTACTTAGTCACAGTATGACTTGCTGGAAAAATAGTGCTTAGTTAATGTGTTTGGGTTTTTTTGTTTTTTTTTGTCACTTCAGTGGAAGGCTTCCTGCTCCTCTCCGAGTAGTAGGTGAAATCATAAGCTTTCCATCTACCACTTCCTGGGGCTTTCCAAAGAGTTGGTGGAACCCAGTTAAACTGAGTTGTTTTCATGCTCAGTTTATCACTAGGGTACCCTATGTCAGCTGAGATTTGGAGAGTAAGATATGTTCTCAAAGGCAGAAGTTTTAACAGAAAGAAAACAGTTGACCTGGGAAAGTCATTCAAACTAGTTTTAATGGTTTGACTTAGACATTGCAAACCTCAGACATTGCAAACCAGAAACAGAACAAAAGCTAAAATCCTGGTGTCTAGATTGTGTGTGTGTGTGTGTGTGTGGTGTGTGTGTTGTGTTACTCCCTAGCAAAGAAGCGTTGCTTCAACAGAGCATGACTTCCGTCATGGGTCCAGATGCTGAAACTCAAGAGTCATTTGAGCATTAAGAGCCAACTGTGCTAATGTTCCCACTTACTTTCTTGTGAAAGCCTCCACCTATCAAATTAATTTGGAGTCAAGAGAATGTGCTTTTTATATCATTTCAAGTTTGGAGTGATGACACACACCTTTAAAACACTAACTAAGGTAACACATAGCTATGATGTATTTAGTAGGGTGTGACCTTTAGGTTGGAAATTCATCGTCACATCTGGTAGAGACTAGGGTCTCAGAGGATCTTTGTTAAATGGGAATCAGTGAAGTACCAGGACCTCAAACAAGGCTCAAGGATATTCTAAAATGTAGCTATTTGAAAGAATTGGATATTCTAAAGTGTAGATGATAATTGAAAGAACTGTAACTGTACTCAGATGTTGGAATAAGTTGACAGTTGAAAAATTGGGGTTACTAAAAAAGAAATAGGAAATTGAATTATGTAACTTGAGGGTAAGGACAGGAAAGGGAAAATGGGAAAAATGATGGAAAAGGTGGCAATGATCAAAATGTATTGTACTCATAGCCTGACTTACGGAATTGTACCCTCTTTGTGCAACTATTTAGTAATAAAAATGAAGAAGAAAAGAAATAGGGCTAGGAGGTTGTTTTTCTAGGACAGATTCAGATGTCCGTAGAGATAAATAATTCCCATGATAACCAATTGGGGTTTGTGCTTATACTTTTAGGCTTTCTCTGCTTAAATTTTTGTAACAGGTTGGAAATTTTAAGCGGCGTTCTTGCTGGGTTTGTTTTGTTTTGTTTTTTTCCTTTCTTTCTTGGAATTTCCTTTAAAGATAGTATTGGGCTTTCCTGGAAGCCCTCCCACTTATCAAGCCCCACCCCCTTCACTGGAGAAAACTAAGCTTGATGCCCAAGATTGAGTGTTCTGTAGGTTCTGGGGTAAACAACCTTACCTTGCTATGACCAGTAGAGGAGAGTATGTCAAACTTGTCATTAGTTGAGGTGGAAGAGGTTCCTTGTGGTTTTTTGATGATGATACCTAGCATTTTGTTTGTAAGACTTTCATTTAGCATGGAGGAACTTCCAACTGCTTTTTCATTTCTTTCTCATTTTTACAGTTCATTTAAATACATTTTAATACCTACTATGTGGCAGGTGCTATATATACAGAGTAAACCAGTGCTGAACAAGGCAGGCATGGTATTTGCTTTGGAGAAGCTCAGGGCCTTGTGGGGAGTAGACGTTAAACCAATGAACACAAAAATAATCATGAATTGTGATAAGTCCAGTGGAGGAAAAGAACAGGCTATCACAAAAGAGAAGGAATGTTATGATTTGAAGAAGGAGATTATGAAGTGGGGTGTGGTGGATGGAGCCTAGAGTCCCAGTTATTCTAAAGATTGAGGCAGGGAGATTATTTGATCCCAGGAGTTCAAGCCCAGTCTGAGCAGAGGAGATTGCAAGATAGCTTTTGGCATATATCTGAGGAATAAAGAGGACTTCTTCTACTGAAGAGTGAAGCAAGTGGGCCTGGTAAGAAACCTGTGCAAAGGCTCAAAGGCTGGAGCACCTGGGAACTTAGGGGATTGTGTAGGGTAAAGCTGAAGAGAAAGGGATAGCTTTATTTAAGAGGAATAGAGCCAGGCCCTAATGCTTAAGCCTGTACTTGTAGTTACTCAGGAGGCTGAAATCTGAGGATCAGGATTCAAAGCCAGCTTGGGCAAACAAATCTGAGATTTTTTTTTTTTTTTTGGTCCAGTTGTGGGGTCTGAACTCTGGGCCTGGGTGCTGTCCCTCAGCTCTTCAGCTCAAGGCTGGTGCTCTACCACTTGAGCCACAGTGCCACTTCTGGCTTTTTTCTTTTTGCTTATGTGGTGCTGAGGAATCAAACTCAGGGCCTCAGGCATGCAAGGCAAGCGCTCTACCACTGAGCCACCTTCCCAGCCCACAAATCTGATATTTTTTTTTTTTAGAAATCTCCAATTAACTAGCAAAAAGCCTGAAGTGGAGGTATGGATCAAGTGGTAGAGTGTCAGCTTCAAGTGAAAAAGCTAAGGAAGAGCTTGAGTTCCCGAGCTCAAGCCCCCAGTACCAGCACCAAAAAAAAAGAAAAGAAAGAAAGATAATGTAATCCAGTTGTGGATTTCAGAAGTACTTTATGGGTTTAATTGGCCTAACTGATGGACTGAAGTGGTAGGGGGTGTGAGAGAGGAAGTAATAAGAATGAACAAGTAAAATAAAGAGAGTGTGGTGTTGAAAGTGAACCAGGAAGTGTCAGCTGCTTTCTTCCCCCAACAGTCACTTTGTTACTAGGGTGAGGTCACCATGATTGACAACTTGGGCAGTGCCATTTGGAAGTTGCGTTTCCTATTGTAGCAAATGACTAGGACAAGCCATTGAAACTAGGGTGTGTATAAGTCTCCCAGTAGTTACCATTTTAGTGCAGGCCAAGTTCTTTTGTTCTGTAATCCAAAAGCAACTGTAATCTTGTTGGAGTACTCTATGTAGCTGATGATGTCACTGCTTCAGGGACTATAGGACCGAGGAAAAGAAGTAAGATGTTAACAGTAGGTGCCAGGAATTGGTGGCTCATGCCTATAATCCTCACTCCTCAAGCTGTTGAGATCCAAGGATCATGGTTCAAAGCTAGGCTGGATAGAAAGTCTGTGAGACTCTTCTCTCCTGTTAACCACCAAAAAGTGGGAAATGGAGGTATTGTTGCCGTGATAGATCTCCAGATCCTTGAGTGAAAAAGCTAAGTGAAAGCATAAGACTCTGACTTCAAGTCCCACTACCGGCTGGCACACACACATCACACACTGTCTCCCTTCCACA